AATGATTTGATGTCATGTGAATAAACTTTATTATTAAGGGATAAGACAAATACAAAATATTTTATATAAAAGAAACACATAGGAATTCATATAAAATACATTTATTTTACCTTGCTGTATATACAGTTGAGAATTTGAGTTAGCATGCCTTGAAAGGTCCTCGAAAATAATGAGGTTCGTCTTTAACACAGGTATGCTAATAAGGCATGCTAATTCTGACTGTAGCGTGGAGGCGTTATGCTGAAAAAAAATCCTCAAACAGAATATGATGTGACCTAATATCATAAATAAAAATAAGCTACCTTCAGCTGTTCCCTCTTCACAAAGGGTCATCACAGCAGGTAGCTCCACATATTTCATTTACTTTTACAACACACGCTCTTCTTGGCATGAACCCCAAGGGATTTGTGTTTCCTCCCATGATCAAAACGGTGAGCTTTCACTTGTTAGTGAAAAGTGTAAACCACCTCACTGTGGAGCCACTTAGCATCACAAATGAACATCAGTGAAATATTCAGCTTATTCAGGACTCCCTGTGATTGGCTGAGCTTTGATTACGAGTATTCCCAAGGTGAGTATCAACCCCAGTTTCATTTGAACAGGAGGTAAAATGGGAAGTCAACAGTATTTAGTCAAATAAAAGGCAGAGATTAAAGAAACTTTGGCAGCCAAGTGGGTAATTGATTTATAATTTATCAACGGTTGTGCTGAGCAGTGGCCTCCGGAGAGCTGAGGTTGATTTCTGTTACAACCTTTTTGGTTTCCCCATGAGAACACTTAATATGGGCAGCTCTTTTCTCTCAGTGGTTATTTAAAGTACAGCTATCAATAGACACTGCAGAAATCTGAAAGAATGTAAGCAATGCTCCCCAAATTCTGCTTGATTAAATTAAATTGTCACAGCAATGAAGGTGATCTATGATAGCAAGGTGAATGTGTAAAGTGCCATAAATCTCTTTGTCCTACCTTGAAAGGTCAGCATTTGCTCAGATGAGCCCAGAGATACTGTCTTATTCCACAATAATAAAAGTGAGAAAGCAGAAGCTGCTCAAAAGACACACTTCCTGCCTAAGCAATAAACTGCTGCTTGCTCATTAATGAATAGTGTTGTAGCTTAGGTTTGGGGAGGGGGTGAAACCAAGGTGAATATCACTACAATATCACTACAATGCTGTACTGTACATTACAGACTCTTCAAATACACTCAGAATGACCCAACAGAGACTGCATACCTCAGTAACAGAGTGGGTTTTTGGATATTTTAAATTGTACAAATTCAAGCTCACATTTTTAATAACCAGTTTATTTGACAGATAAACAATAGTAAATGTGGACCCAGAGTACTGACTGTATCATTTAGGGGGATTTTTAACTTTTCCATTACACACTGTGTGGAAAATGTATCTCCTATGCCACATAATTAATATTATAGTTGCTCACTTAAATATTTCATTTGAAGGACATTTTATCAGTTCTGTCCAGATTTGTACAGATAAAGGGATAGACATAATTTAAGGGGGAAAAAAATCCATAAAAATTATGCATTATAGGTTCAACTATCCTGACATCCATCTGTCCATTTATTTTTTGGGGCTATCCTGTGGGAGCAGCAGCCTAAGCAGAGGAACCCACATTTCCCTCTCCCCAGCCGCCAGCTGAATGTGTCCTGGGTCTCTCCAGTGTGTCCTGGGTCTGCACCGGGGCCTCCTTCTGGTGGGACATGCAAGGCACACCTCACCCAAAGGGAGGTTACGTCTCATTCCTGCAACTTCCCACTCAGATGTGAACTGCACTAGTGTGAGCTGGAGGTCACTGCCTAATTAAGCCAACAGAACCACATTATCTACGAAAGAAGAAATGAGATTCTGAGGCCACCAAAGTAAAATGTTTCTTTCCATAAAAATTCTGAACAAAATTTGTGACAAAGGGCAGTCCTGGCAACAGTCCAACACCCACCTGGAACGTGTCTGACTTACTGCCAGCAACGTGGACAAAGCTCCTGCAACACTCGTACAGGGACCATATGGCTCATAGCAACTGGCCAGACACCCAATACTGCCGAAGCACCCCCATAGGGGGATGCAGTTGAATGCCTTCTCCAAGTCCCCAAAACACATATAGACTGTTTGGGCAAACTCCCACGCATCCTCAATTATCCTCGAGAGGATAAAGAGCTCAGTGTTCCATGACTAAGACAAAAACTGAGGTTCAACTAACAGAAGAACTCAATTCCGGCACCCTGGTACACCCAGCAAGGGTGAGGAGTGTGATACCCTGTAGTTGGAGCACACCCTGTGCCCCCCCTATTAAAAAAGGGAACCACCACCCCAGGCACTGTCCCAGATGTCCACACAATGTTGCAGAGGTGTGTCAACCAAGACAGCCCTACAACATTCAGAGCCTTTAGGAACTCAGGGAGAGCCTTGTCCACCCTAGGGCCTGGCCACCAACGAGCTGTTTAACTACCTCAGTGACCTTGCCCTCAGTGATGGACGAGTCATCCTCCTTGTCCGTGGACTCTCCTTCCAATCCCTTTGTCAGTGGGATTAATAGGTTCTCGAAGTGTTCCTTCCAAACTTCAACTATATACTCAGTTTAAGTCAGTAGCACTCCACCTCCAATGACCACCGCTTTCCCCTCCTGAGTGTTTGCCAGAATTGCTTTGAGGCAATCCGAACGGCTTTTTTCATGGCCTACCCAAAATTCTCCCACACCCGAGTTGTTACTTCAGCTACCACCTAAACTCGTTCCATCAGCTGGCTCTGAAATACCACAGGCAAACCAAGCCTGATAGGACTCCTTCTTCAGCTTGACACTGTCCACCATCTGGTTCAGAGATTACCAGCACAACAGGCACCAGCCACATTGTGGCCACAGCTCCTTGTAGCTTCCTCTGCAATGGAGGTGCAGAACACGGCCCACTTGGACTCAGTGTCTCTAGGCTCCCTTGGAATAATTCCAAAGTTTTGAAGGTGTGGGTAGTTCAAGATCTTGCCTCTGCCTGACGTTCCCAGTGTACTCTCACTATACGTTTAGGTGGAGGATGCTGGAGAGACCACATCCAACTCACCACCAGGTGAGTTGAAAGCTCCGCTCCTCTCTTCACCTAAGTGGCCAGAATATACGGCGGCAGATACAATGATACCATTGCAAAATCGATCATCGACCTCCAAACGAGAGTGACCTGGTGCTACTTGGACATCCTTTTGTTGGAACATGGTGTTCATTATGGACAATCTGTGGTTTACACAGAAGTCCAATAACAAAACGTCACTCAGGTTCAGATCAGGCAGGATGTTCCTCCCAATCACATCCCTGGAGGTCTCATTGTCATTGCCCATGTGACCACTGAAGTCTTACAGTAGGACGAGGGAGTCACCAGACGGAGCACCTTCAAGCACCCCACTCACTGATCCAAAGAAAACTCGGTACTCTGAACTATCATTTGGTGCATATGTGCAAACAGTCAGGACCTGTTCCCCAACCTGATGGTGTAGAAAAGCAACCCTTTTGTTCACCACAAGCCCAGGGGATACAAGAGTGCCCACCCCTTCCCGTTGCCTTTTACTAAGGGCAATTCCAGACTAGATCAGAGTCCAACAGGTCTCTCTGGACTGGTTCCAGAAACCAAGTTTGGGGTAAGTCAAACTAAATAGCCTGTATCGCTCAACCTGAATTACTACCTCAGGCTCCTTCCTGAGCAGAGAGGTGACGTGTCAGAATTGCAAACCTCTATACCAGGGGATGGGACCGCCAGGGGCTACACCCCTGACTACTCTACTGCCTGACACACATTGCACCAGGCCCCTATGGTGCTTCTTGCAGCTGGTGGGCCTACAGGAGGGTGAGTCCATGGCACATCTCAAGGCTGCACCCAGTTGGGCAAACTATATTGACATTTAGTTAAATATTGCTTAAGCTTAGGAAATGCTTTATACATATATTTTCCTATAGTCAGTACAACAACTCTAGTGTTGACATCTTTAATTTTCAGACTTTGAGCTTACAAGAATCCATCATTTTTCAATTAGTACATACAACGCTGTCTCTTGGAAATGCTGTTTATTTGCAGCTTATGGTGAGTGGCCTAACCTTTAACTGTAAATTCAGTGGAATCCTCCTTGAAGCAAGACCTATTTTAAATAAAGTGAAGGGAGTCGTGCTCATACAATAATAACGGCATCCCCCTGCATTTGTTTTGAAAACAGATCAGTCATTAAAGTGCATCAAAGACACCATAAATGACACAATGCAGAGCAATAATGCATTTTAATGAAGACCCTCAAGCTAGAATGATAAGATTTCAGGGTCTGCAATTTGCCTGTACTGCATTATACAAAATCCGATCACCAGAAAAGTCATTAATGTAAAAAGTCGGACACTTTCACAAAGCAAATCTGTATAGCTCTCAAGAATTACTGGAGAGTTTTTGGCTTAAAGAAAAATGGTCGGGCAAGAATGTGATGGCGGCAGCTGCTACTGCTTTCCATTTTAAGTGCTTATCAGTGACTCACTTGAAGTGAGACAAATTTTGTCTCTTTCAATTGTAACATTTTGCAGATTTGCTTTACTTCAATACAGAACTTTAAAACATATAAACCATTATAGTGGACATACAGGGGCTTTTTGTTTTTTCTCCTTCAACAGCTACCTAATTATAAGCAGCACTTAGGCAGTGTATCACACCAACTGGGATTTTAATAACTGTTGAGTCACCAGCTGTGAACTATTAAGAAATGATGGTGATGACCACCAGATTGAGAAATCAAATTCTGAGCAACATCCAGTGATGCCTCTCATACAGCTGGCTCAAATCATAGCTTGTTTTCTAACAACTGCGGTTTGACAGCACATGGTTGTTCTAACACAGCCATAAACCTGTGATGTGACTACTGGCATTGACCTCCTTGAAATGACAAATGGCTAGAAATAACACAAACAAATGCTCCAGAAAGCAACTCATGCTTAATGGCTTTGAAACTGTAGAAAGGTTTACTCACCCTATACCAAACAATCTCACGCAGCCTTCCATCAGTTTTGAAGTTACACTTGAGAGTAACAGTCTCACCAACAACAACAGGAGGCAGGGGCTCTATGGAAACTGTCAAATATCCTGAAAAAAGAGAATGGAAACAAAAACTTTTAGTACAGTAACATACGATAACTACACCTTTTCTGAAACAGTATATAATTTAGTCGTTCTTTTCTTCTTCTTTTTTCTTTAGAAAAGAACTCAGTAGTGTAGAATTAGTAGATTCACTCTGGGGGAAAAAGTCATGTTTTATCCTATACAGAGAAAAGAACATGTTACCATGCATCCCTTCATTGATAGCTACATAAGTCACGGGTTTACAGATTAAATCAAACAAATGAGCTACAGTGCAACTTCTTTTAACTGACTTACCATACTGCAGGTTTGCCAAGAAGTTGTCTATTTGATTGTTGCATTATTATTTTTCATTGGATTTATCCAGCACATTTGCTTGCGCAATGTGTTTTAAGCTTTTCACCAGTTATTTTTTTAAGTTGTTTGCCCTTGAATACACATCCTCCTTCAACCTCTAATAGAAGCAAAGCCATTTCAGCAGCATCATGACAATGAATAGTTGGTAAAGAACATGATGGAAAATGTCAGGCACAATATGGGCAATGCTGCCATTGCTTCTGATAGGGTGGGCTGATAATCCATATACAAGAAAGTTTTTTTCTTACACTTCAGAATCACAAAATATACTATCTAATTTGTTCCATGCAGTATGCAACCTCAAGCTGCCTAAATTTATTGTAATTGAAGATTAAATGAAAGCTGCTGTGATAAAAAGTCAACAACACACAACAAAAAAAAGCTACGTACACACAGAAAAACAACAAACGCAAAACGAGAAAAATCTAAGAAAAAGTAACTGCCAAATACAAGGTCAAACTCTTCAGAGATGAATGCTTTATTGTGCCTGATCATCAGCCCTTTGCGCAGAAAAAAAAAAAAAAATCACACAGAGCTGCAGTTTCACAATTCAGCACTCACACACACACACGGGGTGATAACAGAACAGCACATCAGCATACGTGAGATTATATCGCCCAAATAAAAATGGAGTGATACAAAGGCAATTACCTGGTGATAATGAGAAGACCTGAGAAAAAATAAATACATCCAAAAACTGTCGGGGGGTGGGAGACTAACGACTGAAGGAAAGGATATTTGTACTGAAAGAGTTAACTGAATCAAAAAGAATTTATTATAGCTATATACTAAAAGATATAGTATTTAGTTTATGCATTAGCAATAATCTCTTTACATCTGGCTAAGGCAAAATGAAGCAGTTAGTAGGCTCATTTCCAATGACAGACAAGCTACCCTCTGCTCAACATATCACCAGCGTCAGCACATCCAGTATTTAATGAGGGAATTATATCTCAGAAAACAGATGGATATAAAAGTGAAAATATAAAACTGAATAAAATGGCACTTAATGGCCAATATTTCTATATAATATTGACACACTGACATAACTAACAGAATATTAAGGACATTAGTGTTTTACAGAATTCCCCAGGTGATCAGTGTAAGAAATGGACAACTGCAGAGACGTGTAGCATGAACAGTCCACCGTAGGTACCTAATTATAGGATGAAAAAGCACTTTTTGTGCTTCCGTGCTGGGAAAATAGTGATCAGAGGCAGAATGTTTTTTCAATATCCATCTCACTCACTTGTGAGTATATCTCAGAAATCCATTTCATTTTTAAGGACTGCACATAAATATGCTCACGGTCTTGTGCAAAGAATGTAATTTTGTCATATCACCTCCACCGGTCACGACAGATGGCCACCCCCTCCCTTAACCTGGTTCTGCCACAATGGAAATTTAGATATTTAGAACTGATTTATAAAATGATGATTGTTTCTCCGAGGATGTTAAATGTGGTAAGTAAATGACATTCACAAATATAAGTGAAATTCACAACCACCAGACATTGCATTAGACCATAAAGCATATCAAACTAAAACCAAAACAAATAGACATGTCAGCCATGCCTCCACTTGCTTTTGGTATATCATCTGCCAGAAAGCTTAGGGACACTACAGCCAAAGAAAAGAAAAAAGAAATCTCCTGCCAAAACCATCACAACCATTAGCCCACACTAGCATTATAAAATATCATACACTGAATGGCCATAACACAATACAATAAGCCAACTGATTTTAGGCCCACCATTGTGATGAGAGTCTTTACTGCTGTTCTGCTGCTCTCCTCTGGTTTATACACAATGAAGAAAACAAGGGAGAGCAGTTCACACTGAGCTGAAATTAAACAAGTGTACATAAATTAAAATAAATAAATTTCCTTTTTAATATTTAGATTTTTTGGGTGCGCTGACTCTAGTACGAACTCTACCATCTCCCTGCTATTTTCACTATTGTTTGCAACCTTTTGTAAATACCAGAAGAGCAAGATACTGAACAGAGAAGCTCTGACTACAACACACACAGAGGAGTATTTCATTTTCTATAGTACACTGCCTGGCTTTTTTGTTTTATTCTATGATGAACCAAATGTTTTCAATTTGCCAAAACTCTAAACTGCAGAGTTTTTTAGGCCAGTTCAAAAACTCAACTACTATGAAATCCGGCCGTTGTAATAGATGCAATACACAGTTTACCGTTCCCTCCCCTGAATAAGACATCATACATGGTAGCATATGTTGCTCTAAAACTTTTCAGAACAACTGATAACAAGCCACATGGTCCCTTTCCTTTTTAGTCTGGAGGACCCGGTGTCCATTTTTTAAAAACAGGATTTAAATTTTTTGATTTTTCTAACCACAGAACAGCTTATCACTTTGTCTCAGTCCATTTTAAATGGGCTATGTCCCAGAGAAGACAGCAGCATTTCTGGATGTTCTTTTTCTCTGCATAATAGAGCTTTAACCTGCATTTGTGAATGGCACAGTGAACTGCATTCACAGGCAGTAATTTCTGAAAGTATTCCTGAGCTCTTGCAGTGATTTCCATCACAGAATCATGACTGATTTTAATGTGATGTTGGGCCCAGAGATCACAGGCATCTAACACTGATTTTTGGCCTTGACCCTTGAGGATGGAGATTGCTCCAGATTCTTGCATACTTTTGATATTATGTACTGTACTTGATTAGATATTTCTTCACAATTTTTACAATTTCACAATGAGCAACGCTATTCTGAAATGGTTTGCAGCTGGCAGATGCTGTTTTTGCAGACTGATTAACCTTGTCCATCTTTAAGAAACCCTGCCTCCCTGAATGTCTTTTTGTTCTCCAATCATGTTACTAACCAGTTGCCAGTTAAACCAATTAGCTTCAAAATATTTCTTTTTAGTACCAGTTACCTTCCCAGTCTTTTGTTGTGTCAAAATTAACATGAGCTAATATTTTATTCTTTTTTTTTTTTTTTTTTTTTCTTTTTGCCTGTCCCGTTTGGCTCTTTTGCCATCAGAATTGTTGTCTAAAGGCAAATATTTTATTCTTAAAATGGTACGCTTTCTCAATTTGATATAGTTTCTCTTACTGTGAATAAAAGTACAGGTTTATGAGACTTCGAGTCTTTATTTTATGTCTTGATTTAGATTGTAAACAGTCTTCAAACTGTGTACGTATTAAAGAAACTGTCATGGAAGTCAAATTACATCATATATAAGCCAACATGACACAACCAACATGATAGGATGAACACGGGGACATTATAGGTGAGCCATGTGTTTCAGTAATTCTGTGCAAAACTTTACTAGAAATCCTTGGTTCTTGGTGGCATACTCGTGTTCTCCTCCAATATAGAGTCATGTGAAAAAGAAAGAACAACCTGCTTTCACAGGAGTTAAGAGGAAAAGTAGCAGCCAGGTGCCAATTGAAAGCCCGTGGTAAGTCTTTAAGAGAGCTGTGCATAAACAAATACCCACAAACTTGAATAGACTGAAGAGGAGTAAAGAAGACTGAATCAAAATTCAAGCAGAGTGAGGTGAGACTGATAAGGTCACACAGAAAACAATTATTTCAAGTTATTTCTGCTAGATGTGCTACAGGATATTCAAACATGCGGTGTCCTTAGTTTTTCACAGGACTACATAGAGTCCTGTTTTCTTTTTATGTTTGTTTCATGTGACTGTAGTTGCTATCTTGTTCACCATGATTCACCTCAGCTTGTTTGCCACAGTTTAGATGACAACGTGATAATCTTTCGAGTATTCCTTTGATAAAACTGCACTGCATCTCACTACTTCTCCAAAAAGCATAATTGCTCTAAAACACTATCTCGAACACTGGAAAACATGAATTCCTATAAATATGTAATAGGTAATAGGTAAAAGTACATAAAACTGACATACGTATAGTACATTAAAGAAATGTAAGATGTATCGTCACTGGTAGACTCAGCTGTCTCGCATGTCAGTGCACCTAGATATGCTTATTAAGGAATCTTAATTTAATCAGCAGGCTGAAGAGACCTTCTCTCCAGAGTCAAATTGAATGGATAAACCTTTTCTGGGACTGCATGTCATTAACACAGAGCTGATGCTCTTACGGAAAATCCTCACCACTTACTATGAACCCACAAGAGGAGCAGGCTAGCCTTGTAAATGTCTCTGTGCGAGTTTTTCAGTGAGGTGGCGTAAATGCATATTCAAAAAATAAAAAATAACAATAATAATTCTGTGGAATGTAGTGTTAGTCATTCGACAGGAGACAAGTGTGTGTCTTGCCTTCAGTAATGGACATATTTAGTTGCAAGTGATAAATGGTGGTTCTCTTTTGTGGTTGCAGGGATTAATTGTGAACAATTCACTGACTATGTGGCACAGAAAAAAAAGTAGCATAGCCACGGACATAAAAATGCTGCAAAGCATATGGAGAGGGATGAAAAAATTTTAAAAGAGCACATTACATGGGTTATGCACTCGTATCGGAGAAGTTCACATTTCATATAATCCCTATGAGAAACTGGAGCAGTTTCAGTCTGAACACACCAAGACACGAAGGCACAATTCCCATGCAATTAAATGACTTCATCAGTTAAACACATTTTATTTACCCATTCTCACTTGAAAGTGTTCCAGCAAAGCTACATCCCTTGTTGT